TTGTTTCAATGCAGGTCATTTTAATAAGCCTACTAAATTTCTGAAAACAACGGATCGGCAGAATGAATTTCCACAAGAAATTTTTCCTTCTGCCATCAATCAAGACAATCCTCTAAGCGAAATTACTAATTATTTTAAAAATCAATTATCTGAAAGTTGGAACAAATGTCTTTCTGATCGTCAACATGAAACAGAAGATCTTTCTATGAAAGAAATCATTAAATTTCTCGATTCTTTTCAAGAAGAATCTACAACATTCTGGAATGAATTATTCAAGTCTATTACATTATCCCATGAGCAATTATTTGAAATAGGTTTAGTATTAAGAATAACATCAACAGTTCTCATACGTCTCCTTCAACAGGAAAATTGATACCTTAAAAAATATTTACCATTTATATTGACTACATATCAATGTACAATACTCGGCGGTATTATTGTAAATTGGACATTAGAATAGCAAATGGAAAGAACATTACATTTTGCCATTCATAAAAAATGGGAAGACTTTAAAAAAGAAATATCACGTATACCGCATTCAAATTGGAAACCATCTAAACATATTTCCTGGCTTATCGTAGAATTAGAAATGAATATAACTATGCGAGAAATTCAAATAAAAGTAGCACAACATATGACACAACCAAATATGAAAACAGATGATTCCAAACTACGAAATATAGTGATGCAAATGAATATGGGTGAAGGAAAAACATCAGTTATTTTACCAATGTTAGCTGTTAATTTGTCTTCATCTAATTCCAATTTAGTTCGTATTATAGTACTTAAATCTTTGTTACCAACAAATCATCAATCATTAGGATATAAATTAGGTGGCTTACTTAATCGACGTATTTTTCCATTTGCATGCCGTCGTGATATGAATTTCAATGATGAACAATTAAATCAAATTTTGAAACGCTTTCGACAAGGAATATGTAATTATGATATTATATTAACTTCACCACACTATAAAAAATAGGCTTATTCCGGAAGCTGTGTCCGGGGGAAGAACCTTTGAGGTTTCGTATGAATCTACCGGACTTTAAAAAGTTTTTGCAAAAATATTCGAATCTTATTTAGGTCCGATAGATTTATACGAAACCTCAAAGGTTCTTCCCCCGGACACAGGTTCCGTAATAAACCTATTTTTTTAGGGTGCAGAAGATATTCTCTCATTTGCTTTACTCAATATTGATAAATGTCGAAGAAATGAATTCGATACTAATCGTTCTATGTTAACAGTTCAACAATGGTTAAAACAATATGTTCGGGATGTATTAGATGAATCTGATGAAATTTTACATGTTGAATATCAATTAATTTATACTGTCGGTGGTCAAGAACAAGGTGATGGAGGTGCAGAACGTTGGAAAGGTGTGGGTGTTGTGCCTTTCAATAACCACACTCACACCCACAGTCACCTACACCCACCCCCTATTCTTGATTTTCTCATGAATATTTTTCACTGGGTAGTATCAAAAGCAACTGCCTCCCCTCGTATGTAGCAGAGGCGTTCGAAGCTTGGTTTTACCAGGATCAACGGTATTGAGCAGCATACTATTGCTTGTGAAGACTTAATATTTTATCTATCGTGTACTACGATGGAAAAACAACAAATCAAACCGTGGTATAATGCACGTTTTCTTCTAACCTTCAATTGACTGTCTCTCCCCGTCGGTTAAGCTGTTCGAGTGGTGGATGAGAGAATAAGCAAAATAAAGATGCTATAGGAATGAAAAAAAGTATATTTCAATAATATTCGACAAGGTGCTCTTTTTACTTATACGAATGAATGCGCGCAAGTCAAACTTTCTTTTCGATATGTATATAAGCAACATAATGCTTTCATTTTTTTCACTGAGCAACGTCGATATATTACACAG